CAGTGCGGGGCTCCATCTACACAGCTACGTTATTGATTCACAGAGTTCTGTGAATGAATGAACCAAGCCCTGTCTGCCATCTGATGGCTTTTAGTTTCCACGAATTGTGAGGGGACTGATGCACTCGCACAGTTCATTGATTCTTCCTGCAGTTCAGTAACTGTCAGGAGGTATGGGCAGACAGTTGATCGAGTCCTCATGCACACTGGACGTTTTTACAGCGGCTGTTTTTGGCTTTTGACAATTTTTTCTACAGCCAGTAAACTCCCCAGCATGTTATCCTATGTGTCCATGCACACAGACTGTAATCAACGTTTTTTGGCAGGGAAGTTTTTTGGCTGGAAAAAAACCCCAGACTACTGGGTTTCTAGAGGAGTTTTTTTTATCTGTAAAAATGCCCTAACACTGAAAAAAAAAACGTGGTAAAACACAGCAAACCAGCATTTTTGGACTTTTTTTGACCAAAAAAAAAAAACCAAACACTTTTTTTAGTAAAGAAAAAAAAAACCTGCTAAAAAACGCAAACGCGGAAACTTTACACAGCTAACATTACCAGCGTTATCCAACTACCCAGTGTGCATGGAGCCTTATGCAGGCCATAGATGGGTCGAAAATCGGCCGATTTTTCGGCCGAAAATAAAATCGGACCGATTTTCGGATCGTTAGTGGGCGATTTGGTCGGCTGTTTTTCGGTATTTTGGCCTTTTTTTTTTGTTCGGTAAAGTTGGAAAAAAAATCAGCCGATTTTGCCGAGGCCGATTTTCGCGGCAATAATGGGAAAATCGGCCGATTTTTTTACCGATAAAAAATCTGCGCATGAGCAGTGACCTGCAAGAGGAAGACAAAAAGAAGAAAAAGAAGAAGAGGATGAAGATGATGAAGAGGAAGAAGAAGAAGAGGATGATGATGAGAGGAAGACGAAGTAGAAGAAGAAGAAGAAGAAAAGAGGATGATGATGATGAAGAGGAAGAAGAAGTAGAAGAAGAAGAGGATGAAGATGATGAAGAGGAAGACGAAGTAGAAGAAGAAGAGGATGATGAAGAGGAAGAAGAAGTAGAAGAAGAAGAGGATGAAGATGATGAAGAGGAAGAAGAAGTAGAAGAAGAAGAGGATGAAGATGATGAAGAGGAAGAAGTAGAAGTAGAAGAAGAGGATGATGATGAAGAGGAAGAAGAAGTAGAAGAAGAGGATGATGATGAAGAAGAAGTAGAAGAAGAGGATGATGATGATGAAGAAGTAGAAGAAGAAGATGATGATGATGATGATGAAGAGGAAGAAGAAGAAGAAGAAGAAGAAGGGATGAAGATGATGAAGAGGAAGACGAAGTAGAAGAAGAGGGATGAGGATGATGAAGAGGAAGAAGAAGTAGAAGAAGAGATGAAGGATGATGAAGAGGAAGAAGAAGTAGAAGAAGAGGATGAAGATGATGAAGAGGAAGAAGAAGAGAAGAAGTAGAAGAAGATGATGATGATGAAGAGGGAAGAAGTAGAAGAAGAAGATGATGATGATGAAGAGGAAGAAGAAGTAGAAGAAGAAGATGGATGATGATGATGAAGAGGAAGAAGAAGTAGAAGAAGAAGAGGATGAAGATGATGAAGAGGAAGAAGAGTAGAAGAAGAAGAAGTAGAAGAAGAGAGGATGATGATGATGAAGAAGAAGAAGTAGAAGAAGAAGGAAAGAAGAAGAATGAAGAGGAAGAAGATATGAAGAGGAAGAAGAAGAAGTAGAAGAAGAGAAGATGATGATGATGAAAGAGGAAGAAGAAGAGGATGAAGAAGTAGAAGAAGGGATTGAGAGGATGATGAAGATGGAGAAGAAGAAGAGGATGATGATGATGAAGAGGAAGAAGAAGAAGAGGAGAAGATGATGATGAAGAGGAAGAAGAAGAAGAAGAGAAGAAGGATGATGATGATGAAGAGGAAGAAGAAGTGAGAAGAAGAAGGATGATGATGAAGAGAAGAGGAAGAAGAAGTAGAAGAAGAAAGAGGATGAAGTAGAGTAGAAGAGAAGAAGAAGAAGAGGTAAGAAGAAGAGGATGATGATAATGAAGAGGAAGAAGTAGAAGTAAAGAAGAGGATGAAGATGATGATGACGAAGAGGAAGAAGAAGAGGATGATGAGATGATGAAGAAGAAGAAGAAGAAGATGGAGAAGAGGAATGACGGAAGAAGAGGATGATGATGATGAAGAAAAAGAAGAAGAGGATGATGATGAAGAAGAAGAAGGATGATGATGATGAAGAGGAAGAAGAAGTAGAAGAAGAAGAGGATGAAGATGATGAAGAGGAAGACGAAGTAGAAGAAGAAGAGATGATGAAGAGGAAGAAGAAGTAGAAGAAGAAGAGGATGAAGATGATGAAGAGGAAGAAGAAGTAGAAGAAGAAGAGGATGAAGATGATGGAAGAGGAAGAAGTAGAAGGGAGAAGAAGAGGATGATGATGAAGAGGAAGAAGAAGTAGAAGAAGAGGATGATGATGATGAAGAAGTAGAAGAAGAGGATGATGATGATGAAGAAGTAGAGAAGAGGATGATGATGATGATGAAGGAAGAAGAAGAAGAGAAGAAGAAGAAGAGGATGAAGATGATGAAGAGGAAGACGAAGTAGAAGAAGAAGAGGATGAGGATGATGAAGAGGAAGAAGAAGAAGAAGAAGAGGATGAAGAAAGGATGAAGAGGAAGAAGAAGAAGAAGTTAGAGAAGAGGATGAAGATGATGAAGAGGAAGAAGAAGTAGAAGAAGTAGAAGAAGAGGAGATGATGATGAAGAGGAAGAAGTAGAAGAAGAAGGATGATGATGATGAAGAGGAAGAGAAGTAGAAGAAGAAGAGGATGAAGATGATGAAGAGGAAGAAGAAGAAGAAGAAGAAGAGGATGAAGATGATGAAGAGGAAGAAGAAGTAGAAGAAGAAGAAGAGGATGATGATGAAGAGGAGAGAAGAAGTAGAAGAGGAAGAGAAGAAGAAGAGGGATGAAGATGATGAAGAGGAAGAAGAAGTAGAAGAAGAGGATGAAGATGATGAAGAGGAAGAAGAAGTAGAAGAAGTAGAAGAAGAGGATGATGATGATGAAGAGGAAAGAAGTAGAAGAAGAGGATGATGATGATGAAGAGGAAGAAGAAGAAGAGAAGATGAAGATGATGAAGAGGAAGAAGAAGTAGAAGAAGAAGAGGATGAAGATGATGAAGAGGAAGAAGAAGTAGAAGAAGAAGAAGAGAGATGATGAATGAAGAGGAAGAAGAAGAAGTAGATGAAGAGAAGGAAGAAGAAGTAGAAGAAGAAGAGGAAGAAGAGGTAGAAGAAGAAGAGAGATGATGATAATGAAGAGGAAGAAGAAAGTAGAAGTAGAAGAAGAGGATGATGATGACGAAGAGGAAGAAGAAGAGGATGATGATGATGATGAAGAGGAAGAAGAAGAAGAGGATGATGATGACGAAGAAGAGGATGATGATGATGAAGAAAAAGAAGAAGAGGATGATGATGAAGAAGAAAGAAGAGGATGATGATGAAGCAGGAGAAGAAGAAGAAGAATGAAAAATTAGAGGAATTCCAGTACGGCAAAAAGTGTCCCTGCAGAGAGCTCCGCTATTTCTTTGACAGTTCTTTGACAGTTCCTTGACATTTACAGCGGTTGCAACAATGTATCTATTTGTTTCCGAATAAAAACATCTGTATCCTAAATGGAAACAAATAGATACAATGTTGCAACCGCTGTAAATGTCAAGGAACTGTCAAAGAAATAGCAGAGCTCTCTGCAGGGACACTTTTTGCCGGCTCTAGACGGGATGAAAATCGGCCGATTTTTTTTACCATTGATGGTAATGTCGGCCGCTTGATCGACCGATTTTTCGTTTTTTTAAAAGAAAAATCTGCCGTTTTTCTCCCCATCTATGGCCTGCATTAGAGTCTGAAGGATTCTGGCATTGGACCCATGATCTGCTGACTGTAGTTACAATGCATTACAGGCTGCAGTGTAAAAAAAAAAAAATAAATGCACATTTTTCCTTCAAAATCATGTGCATTTTTATTTATTTATTTTTTACAGAAGGTAAACTTACCCTTCAATGAATACACAGTTTTCTGACTGGATGAGGTGAGGAGGACGAGGTGCACTGGTCCAAGGATGCTGATCTATCTTACATTTGAAATTCATTGAAAAGTTGCACATTCCCTGTAAAGAAGGCCCCCCCCCCCCCCCCCCCAACTTTTCCTAAATTTCACAATCAGCACAAATCTTTACATGCTGATGTGAAATCACCTAACACAAGAAAAAAACAAACAAAACACTCTACACTTTTTTGCTTTCATCTCTATCTCTTCCAATTTTCAGTTTCAATGAAGGCAGTGATGCCACCACAGCAAGCCACTGATGTGCGGGTGTGATCCCATGCATGCCAGGCTGTGTATGTCCATAGACACACACAGTTCAGCTTGGCCCCGCCCTGCTCCCTCCTCAAGGATTACATCCAATGGCTCCTACTGCGGTCTCTGAGCCGGTCATTTTGTATTGCTGTCTGTGCCCCCCCCCCCCCCCCCCCATAGGGAGATTCACCCCATCTATGTCATGTTTACCATTATCATTGAAAGTAAAAGAAAATCCTACATTTTTTGTTGTCCCCAGAAAAGTAATAGAGGGGAAATCTTCCAATGGGGACACTAGTTCTGGTGACCTGGGGGTCCCCAAAGAATTCCCTTAATTTGCAGGGATTTCCTCTCACTTCCTGTTTGGTTATGGGACAGGAAGTGAAGGAGAAATCTCCACAATGAGATACAGATGGCAAACAAAAAACTGACAGGGGACTTAACCCTCCCTTACGCTATCCAAAAATGGAAAAAAAAAAAAAAGTTTTGCCTATAGTTCTACTTTAACCACCTCCCGCCCGCCATATAAGGAAATGACGGGCGCAAGGCGGTTCCCTCGTTCTGGGAGGACATCATATGACATCCTCCCACTCTATCTGCGCACCGCAGCGATCAGTGGTGCGCTGTGTCCGATCAATAGAAAGAGCCAAAGATATCGGCTCGATCATGTGATCAGCTGTGTCCAATCACAGCTGATCACATGTAAATAGGGAAATGCTGGTTATCGGCATTTCTCTCCTCACGAGTTGTCACGCTGACAGCTCATGAGGAGAGGAGAGAGATGTAATCGGCCTCTCAGACGGGACATGGGCACTTATCAGGGCACTGATGATCAGTGTGCCCTGATGATCAGTGTAGCCCCAGCAGTGCCACCTGTCAGTGTCCATCAATGCCAGCTGTCAGTGCTCATCAATGCCAGCTGTCAGTGCCTACCAGTTCACATCAATGCCACATATCAGTGCCCATCTGAGCTGCCTTTCAGTGCCACCTATTAATGCCGGTCCGTGCCACCTATCAATGCCGGTCCGTGCCGCCAAACAGGGTCATATATGAGTGCTGCCTTTCAGTGCCACCAACCAGTGCCTCCTCATCAGTGCCCATCAGTACCACCTATCAGTGCAGCCTCATTAGCATACATCAGTAAATGAGAAAAATCACTTATTTACAAAATTTTATAACAAAAACTAAGAAAAAAAAGGTTTTGTTTTTTTTTTCAAACTTTTCAGTTGTTTTTGGTTTGTTTAGCAAAAAATAAAAAACCCACAGGTGATTAAATACCACCAAAAGAAAGCGGTCTCAAAAAAAATACAAATTTCATATGGGTACAGTGTTGCATGACCGTGCAATTGTCAAAGTGTGACAGCGCTGAAAGCTGAAAATTGGCCTGGGCAGGAAGGGGGTAGAAGTGCCCGGTAGGGAAGTGGTTAAATATCTGACCAGCAGACTTTATGTTTTGTATAAAATGTGTTGCAGTAATATTCTCATTATACAGGAATTATACAGCTCCAACAGATGACAACATGATGGCAGGCAGTACAATTCCAATACAATGGAATCCAGTAGGAATCAGCTCGTTTGAGCTTACAATCGAAGAACCACTTCCATTAGTCCTGAGGCCGGCTTCACACCCATGTCTCTACATTTTCATGTGTTTTTCCACCCACTGACGCCTATGGGAGCCAAAAATGCACCAATACAGGGGTCCGCGCCTTAGGTGTTTCAGTGATGTGAATGGGCCCCATAGTGAGTAATGGAATTCCTCCTGTTGTACAATGGGCACCATAGGACAGATGACGGAGAGGGTGAGCGGGGTCAGGCTGTGCTCAGACAGGCGATTTTTCTGCGTCCTCATCAAAATGCACATTATACAGAGATTGGTGTCCACTGCCCAGGTGTCGCCTACCTATTGGGGGGGGGGGTGTACACCCGGAGATCACCCATGTCTGTGTGCCAATCACAGGGGGTGATGGGTGCAGGGACCAGAACTGTCCACAAGGTGCTCAGCACTCATCAGTACCCCATGGCCCTCTATGGTATATTGAGCACGGGGTGGGGGATGGGTGATAGTGCTGTCGGTGTGTCCGGTGCCCGTTATGAGGGCGGTGTACGGAGCTCCATGCCGGGATGAAGTTCCGCGCTCTCTCAAACACACACATAAAGTACACAAGGAGTTGTCAGGAGTTTCCTATGTCCGCCCCGCCCAGCCCACTCACCACTACGGCGGTCACCGGCTGTCCCGGAATGAAAGACATGACGACGGCGGACTCCGCTCAACTCGCCAACACCCTCACTGGACAAAGCAAGCCCGGGCCTCACACATGCCCACCTCATGAATATGAATGTAGCGGGCGGGATCTACGAACATACTCCACCCACAACATGCATTCCGGAATCCGGGATCGCCAAACTACGCCTACATTACAGGCCCGCCCCTCATTACTACCACACCCAACTCTCGTTATGTACTGAAGCCACGCCCCTACAAAGCAGCTCCTGTGAATGTGCTCCTAAATTATGCAGAGCTGTGTCCGCCCCATTACAGAGACCTCACCTGTACAGGCAGAGGATAGGTGCCCCGCCCACTGAACTATAAATAATAGGGCACGGTGTCCGGCTTCTGGTAGTCTCCGCCCCCTCCCACCACCCTTCCACAGAGCGGGTGACTGGAGAAGTACAGGAAGGTGGTCACTAGATTGGACTCTACCAGCCAGTGCTGGTTTAACATTAAGCTGGCCATACATTATACAATTTTCTTGTTCAATTTCCTTTAGATTTATTTCAACAATAAATACAAGGGCCTGCCTGACTGCATACAAATTGAAAGTTTTTAGGTGTGCCCTCATGTTACATGGTTCTGGTAAATCTAAAGCAGGGCTCTCCGAATCCTTTAACTCTCATGCGCACTGGACGTTTTGATAATGCTGGTAACGTTAGCCGTGTAAAGTCACTTTAATAATGTGAGGTTTTTCAGCTTTTTTTTAGCGTTTTTTGCATTAGCGTTTAGTGGCGTTTTGCCGCATTTGCAGTTTTTAGTGTTCTTTTACAAAAAAATTTTTTGGGTTAAAAAAAAACCTCTAAAATCGCCAGTTTGTGGCGTGTTACTGCGTTTTTTCAGCATTAGAGCGTTTGTACAGATAAAAAAAACTCCTCTAGAAACCCATTAGTCCTGGAGTTTTTTTTCCTGCCAAAAAACGGTGACTACAGTCTATGTGTACATGGACACATAGGATAACATGCTGGGGGGGGTTTACTGGCTGTAGAAAAAAACATCAAAAGCCAAAAACAGCCGCTGTAAAAACATCCAGTGTGCATGAGGACTAAAACAAAGGGCCAGTTTACTGTCCTTCAGACTTAAGGAGGACCAGACTATGGCCAGTGGGTGTAGAAAAGGCCCCAACGGACATCAGTGAAAAAAATACTGCCCTATTGTTTGGTGTCAGTGGGAGGACTTGTGCCCAATTAGTAATGGTATTGGACATCATCATTGGTGTCATTGGGAGGAATTGTGCCCCCTTCATTGGTGTAAGTGGGGAATTGTGCCTAGTTGTTGGCATCAGTGGATGAAATTGCACTTAGGGCCTTGATAAAAGCAGGCAAAGGGCTGCATCCAGCCCCCGGGCAGCAGTTTGGAGACCACTGATCTAAGAAAAAATCGGACATGAATTGGTGCCAGGAAAGGAAAATTATGGTATTTGATACGATTTTCCGTTTTATGCCATATAAAGGAAATTCCCCAACACTCAGATCTGCTAAAAGTCCACAATTGTAACCCTTTATTCAGTAATGTTAGAGAGATTCCAAAGGTTAATTTGTCTTAAAATAATAAACATGCCTATACTTACCTGTATATTGGGTTTGCACTGAGTACCCAGATCCTCCTGTTGTGGGGTCCCTCCCCACCAGCGCTCCTGGCAACTCCTCCCTTCAGAGCGCCCCCAGAGCAAGGCACTTACCATGGGGGCATTCATGCAAGCTCCCTCTTGAGCTGGGTTGAGTGTGTCCATAACCCACATAACAGGGCAGCATAGTGGCTAAATGGTTAGCACTTCCGCCTGGCAGTACTAGGGTCGTTGGTTTGAATCCCAGCCCCAGCACCACCTGCCTGGAGTTTGCATGTCAAAAACACACATACAAAATGAACTGCAAAACTGGAGTTTGCATGGTCTCCCTGTGCCTGCATGGGTTTCCTTCAGGTACTCCAGTTTCCGCTCCACTCCAAAGACATGCTGGTAGGTTAATTGGATCCTGTCTAAATTGACCCGTGTATGTATGAATGTAAGTTAGGGACCGTAGATTGTACGCCCCTTGAGGGTTGGGGACTGATGTAAATGTACAATATATTTGTAAACCGTTACATAAACTGACAGCGCTATATAAGTACCTAAAATAAATATATAAACAGGGTACAGCCCTCCTCACAGGCTGTGATTGACAGCAGCAGGAGCTAGCAACTCCCTCTGCTGCTTCCATGTCCAGTGCAGGCCAGGAAGAGAGCCGCTGCTCTCAAGTACAGTGCTGGATCAAGATTCTGCTCAGGTACAACCACTTTAAAACCCAAATCCAGGAAAAGTCCTCCCTTACAATGGGGCTGTGCCTGCATTGCAAGGGTTACCTGCTCATTTCATTCAAGGGGACAGTAACAGAAGTTTTACTTACCTGATCCTCCGCACCCCTACATGCTGAAAGTGGACTGTCCATCTGCATTCTCATGTCCAATAGAGGGCAATGGGCTCTGCATTGGTCTTGATGATGTCAGAGGCATCCAACCGCCGAAGAACAGAGAAGAAGAGGCTGGGGGGAATTGGTCTAGCAGTGTGAAAGAGCCTGCGGGAGCAGAGGGTAAAACTGTCTTAGCCTATCCCCTAGATCCGTGGTTTCCAAACAAAGGGCCAGTTTACTGTCCTTCAGACTTTGATGGGACCAGACTGTGGCCAGTGGGAGTAGAAAATGCCCTGGCGTCAATGGCAGAAAACAAACCCCATCATTGGTATTAGTGGGAGGAATAGTCCCCCATTGTCAGTATCAGTGGAAGGAATAGTGTCCCATCATTGGTATCAGTGTGACGACTCATGCCCAATCATTTGTGTCAGTGGAAGGAATCGTGCCCAATCATTGGTGTCAGTGGGAAGTATAGTGCCCCATTGATGGGGTCAGTGGTAGGAGAAGTGCCCAACTGTTGATATCAGTGACAGGAATTATGCCCCAATGTTGGTGTCCGTGGGAGGAAGTGTTCCGCAAGGGCCGGATAAAGGCAAGCAAAGGGCATCTGGACCCCGGGCCGCAGTTTGGAGCAGGGGTGGACTGACCTTTCGAGCCCTCGGGCACTGCCTGAGGGCCCAGGGTCAGTAGGAAGCCCCATGAGATGCCCCTGGTACCTTTCATTGGCTTTTTTGGGTGTGGGCGAGGACACAGGGGCCCCATGATCCCTTATTGCCCAGGGGCCCCATGAGTTGTCAGTCCGCCCCTGGTTTGGAGACCACTGCCCTAAGACCAGGGGTCTCTAAAGTATGGCCCATGGGCCACACTTGGCTCCAGGGGCGGACTGACCATTTGGAAACTTGGGCACTGCCCGAGGGCCCGGGGTCAGTAGGGGACCCTATGAGATGCCCCTGGTACCTTTTTCATAGGCTTTTTTGAATTTGGGCAAGGACACAGGGGCCCCATGATCCCCTATTGCCTGGGAGCCCCATGAGTTGTCAGTCCACCCCTGCTTGGCTCTCTAGGACATTTTTTCTGGCCCACAGCTAGAGTCCTCAGAGAAAGTCTCTGCTCAGGTTGCGGAACTTGGGACAGGCTTTGAGGGGAGTGCAGCTCAAGTCCCGCAACCCAACAAAGCCAAATTATTTTAGTGCAGAGCTGCTGCACCCCCAGCTCCCTCCCCACAGTTGAGTTCAGTGTCCTTTATTGCTGTAATTTCACATACAGCGTGCCTGTGTAACAGCGGGGAGGGAGCCGGGAGGTGCAGTAGGTCTGCACTAAAGACTACAGCGATAATG